TGTGTGTGTGTGTGTGTATGTGTATGTGTATGTGTATGTATGTGTATATATATATATATATATGTGTATGTGTGTATACGTGTATATGTGTATGTGTGTGTGTTTGTATGTATGTATGTATGTATGTATGTATGTATGTGTGTGTGTGTGTGTGTGTGTATGTGTATGTATGTGTATATATGTATATATATGTGTGTGTGTGTGTGTATGTGTATGTGTATGTATGTGTATATATGTATATATATGTGTATGTGTGTATATATATGTATATATATATATATGTGTATGTGTGTGTACGTGTATATGTGTATGTGTGTGTGTTTGTATGTATGTATGTATGTATGTATGTATGTGTGTGTGTGTGTATGTGTATGTATGTGTATATATATATATATATATATATATATATATATATATATATATATATATATATATATATATATATATATATATATATATATATATATATATATATATATATACACCTTGCTACTTGTACTGGGTTAGGCTAACCGAGACTTGTCATTTGCACTTATATATTGTTGCTCTTTTGTTAGTTTTGACTGCTTTTATTGTCCTCATTTGTAAGTCACTTTGGATAAAAGCGTCTGCTAAATGACTAAATAAATAAATAAATATAAATAATATGCAGCTTAGATGAACATAAGAGACTTAATTAAAAAGTGATTAAATAGTGTATTTATTCCTGCTTTTATTGTCCTCATTTGTAAGTCACTTTGGATAAAAGCGTCTGCTAAATGACTAAATAAATAAATATAAATAATATGCAGCTTAGATGAACATAAGAGACTTAATTAAAAAGTGATTAAATAGTGTATTTATTCTTAAAAGGTGTTTACCAAAAGGTACTTTGCTACTACTCTTCAATCTGTTAGCTTCTTTCCAAGGAGGCCTTTCCAAAAACTTGTCATAAGCGTTAAATATCTCTTATTGTGATCTCTTTGCGACACCTTGTGGGTAAATTCATAATTACACACATCTAATTACTAAAAAAGTTTTGTTTTTAATTTATTTATTAGGTCTTATTATTGTTGATATTGTTCATTTTAATTTTGTGCATAAATTAATTAACATAGGAAAAATAAAATATAATGAAGATTCAGATTAAGCGCCGAGTACCAAGCAACACCTAGTGGAAAACAAGTTTTGGTCTCATTTGAAACACTTTTTAAGGACTTTATTTTCATTTGATGCAAGGAAAAATACAAGACGCACGATATATAATCATATAAAACATGTGTTTAATAATGTATTTGAATGTCTAACGATAAACCACGGTAACCATGGGAACCTCAAGAGCACACACAACGGCCTTCTGCACAAAACAACTTCCTGCACGTGTTTCTCAAACTACACGCGGTAACAATCTGTTTTTTCTTGTGAATCAGTTAATATTACTTTATTGAAATGAGGTGCACCATTCTTTGAAATGTACCAGTTTGATAAGATTTTGATCATTTCTTATCAAATTTTGATAAGACATTTATGATTTATTTCTAATTAAAATGTATAATATGCTATAAATTATACATTTTCCTGGCAGTGTGACAAATGAATTTTTAAAATCTGAAATATTTCATATAGTCTTTTAATAGTTGAGGTAAAAAAAACAACCTTCATGCACAATAATCATTAAAAAAATAGTTTTCCTGTACATGGAGTATATCACGTCAAACCACAGGACATGTCAACTTTCCATATATATGTTTTATTCTTAGCATTTTAAAAATGAACATTGAAGTCTAATCACCCACTGTAATTTACCGCATATGTTGCCTATTGATCCGTTCAGTGAGTAGTAATAAATGGCCTTCCACATTTTTTATAATACATAATATTATTATTATGCAAAAGAAAATTACTATAATACTAACAAATATTGTAAATGCATAACAACAGCACATAACTGCATAACAATAACATCTCAGTTTCATATGATAAGGTGCATAAGAACATCTAACAGTCAGGTCATCTCATTTAGAAATAGTTAATGAACTACTGATGATCCTGTTTCTGTGGACACACCATTTGATAAAGAACTGTCTGATTTCTTTGATCCTGATGCAGTAGATGAAGGGGTTCACTACAGGTGGAAGCAGACTGTAGAACATGACCAGGGCGATCTTCTGACTGCTGTTCATCTGAGCTGTTGGGATGCTAGAAGTGGTGTAAACCACAAAACGGGGCACATAATAGATGGCAATGATAGTCAGCTGTGTTGCACAGGTAGAAAAGGCTTTCGTCCGGCCCTGTGTGTTTGCAATTCGAAGTACAGACACCAGGATACTTAAATAAGAAAAGATGATGAAGGAGAATGGTACGAGAAGCACAAACATTGCTACAGCATATGCATTTAGATTTGTGAGGGTGGCATCAGCACAGGCCAGCTGGTTTATAGATGTACCATCACAGAAACAATGAGTGATTATGTTTGGCCCACAGAATGGGAGCTTCACTGTCTGCATTAAGCTAATGGTTGGAGCAATCATTGCAGTAACCCAGGAAACCCCTATTAGAAGCCTCATAGTGCGGTTAGTCATTAAAACAGAGTATCTTAGCGGGTAACAGATCGCCAAGTACCGATCTAGTGCCATGATCATCATAATAAGAGAGTTCAGGGTACCAAAATAGTGAATCAGCTGCCTTTGAAACAGACAAACGTAGAAGCCAATATAACCATCATTAAACCAATAGCGAGAAATGACTTTTGGCAGAGCAACTGTGCAAAAACCAATATCAGAGAAGGATAAACTCAGCATGATAATGTACATGGGCTTTTGGAGGCTGCGCTCAATCACAAACAGGACCACAATGAGGGAGTTTCCGGTGATTACAGCGATGTAGATGCAGAGCAAAAACCCTGCCATCAGGCTGTAGTATTTGGGCTGGAGTCCAGGGAAACCCACGATGAAAAACTCTGTTACAACAGAAGCTGTGGTTTCGTTTGCCTGTAACATACTAAAGCATACAGTGAACATCTGTTTACAAAAGAAACAATATCTGGCTTTTGATAAATTATTGAATTATAAATGATCAAATTATTATTAAATGGTTTAAATGACATTCACTTACAGAATTATACATTCACATAAATTATTCAACATGTAATTTATAAATGTAATTTCATAAAGTGATATTAATAATGAAAATAAATTATTATTAATTTTCATTAAATGAATTATTATTACCCATTGTTACTGTTTTTAAATAATTTGCTATTGCAGAAATCTAAATGTTATTTCGGCTTGGATGTCAGTAAATACCTTAATTATTTAGTTATGGTAAGTTATGTGACATCTGCTAAGAATATATTCCTGGCTCAGTGTGTCACGTCTCGGCAATCAGTGCTGAAGCCAATGTTATGCTTGTGGTTTCATTAAATGTATAGCTGCAGAATCAGTGTTAAATCCTGTAGGGCTCAACACGTCATAGAGGGTCATGTTGTGAATGTTTTGGTGTCATGAAACTGGGCTGAACTTTGGGGTTTGCTGGTTGAGGTGCACTATCTGTTTGTTTGCATCACACAGGTTCACACAGATGGGGAAAAATGGGAAGCAAACATAAATTAATAAAACAAACGAAAACAAACAAACAGAATTATTTGTTTTTCTCTAAAATGGGTAATTTAAAAAAAATGATTTACATTTTTTTTAAATGTTATTTATTTAAAAAAATCTCTTTAATTTCATCAGCATCTGCAAAGGTCACCAGCAGGTGGTGCAAAAAACGAGGGAAAATCAGATTCATGACAACGGTGGCTTTTTGTTACCTTTTCCATGGCAGAAAAGCCTACTACTTTAATATAAATATTAAATATTCTCTTTGTTTAATTGCATGTCATGTGACCAATAATTTATTGTTAAATTATTGAAATATAAATTTTAATTATCAGGGGTTACTTTCAGTAAAAAAATATTTATTTATTAGTAAATATTATTATTTACGCACAGTGATTTACTGAACTACTGAACTTTTACTGGCAAAAGATTTTCACTGTCCCCCCTGTCTTCCCTGTTAAAAAGTTACAAGACAATCAAGAAAGTGACAAAAGTTTATTAATTAGTTTAATTGTCATTCATTTAAGGCACAGACAAGTATCCACAGACAACAGCTGTTTTCATTGTAATGCAATATATTATGGCACTTCTACACTCAAAAGGCCTAAATTTAAGATTTATGTGTTTGAATGGCACATAAAATTCCCATCCATATGGATTACATAGTTTTAACTTAAACTAACTCAAACTAATAAACGTATTGTAATGCATATTACTATTTCAAATACACGATAACCAGGTTTATACATTTTTCATGAATAAATCCAGTTTTGTTTCTGTCTCATACATTTTATCTACAGGTGCATCTCAATAAATTAGAATGTTGTGGAAAAGTTAATTTATTTCAGTAATTCAACTCAAATTGTGAAACTCTCTCTCTCGCCCTCTCTCTCTCTCTCTCTCTCTCTCGCGCTCTCTCTCTCTCTCTCGCGCTCTCTCTCTCTCTCTCTCTCTCTCTCTCTCTCTCTCTCGCGCGCTCTCTCTCTCTCGCGCTCTCTCTCTCGCTGGCTCTCTCTCGTGCTCTCTCGCTCTCTCTCTCTCTCTCTCTCTCTCGCTCTCTCTCGCGCTCTCTCTCGTGCTCTCTCTCTCTTTCTCTCTCTCTCGCTCTCTCTCACTCTCTCTCGTCTAATTTGTTGAGATAGTGAATTGGTGGGTTTTTGTTAAATGTGAGCCAAAATCATCACAATTAAAAGAACCAAAGACTTAAACTACTTCAGTCTGTGTGCATTGAATTTATTTAATACACAAGTTTCACAATTTGAACTGAATTACTGAAATAAATGAACTTTTCCACGACATTCTAATTTATTGAGATGCACCTGTAATATGTTTCACAGCTAACCATGTTCATACAGTATGTTTTAATTGAATAAATTCAATTGATTTCACAATGAACTAATTTATGCTGATTTTAAACAATTTGTGCAATAAATGCATTTTGAAAATATTGTTTAAATAAAATAGATTCAAATAATTAATACATTATGCCATGATTTTTTTTTGAGTGCAGAAAACTTACCTGATTCATACCCGTTTCATTTATGTATGACTGAAAAAATATATATCACATTAAGTCTATTAACTTATGTTAAAAATCTGTAATCCAAATGGGTGGACATATTATATGCACTTCAAATACATAAATCTTAAATTTAGGCCTAAATATATATATATTTTTTAACTTTATCAATATTCTTTTCTGTTAACATTATCTGTTGTACAGTATATCCAAAAGGAGCTAATATTATAAATGCTGTCGTTCATAGCAAAACTTGTATTGTATTGGAACCACCAGATTTCACTGGAATACTTCACAATACATATTTAAACGAAACATTAAAAAAAAGTTACAAATCACAAGAATTTATTCAGTTTTCACGTACAGTATATCATTGTATGTTTGTTTCTATTAAAACTCCACAGAACATAATATTTTACAGAGTGATCACATTAATTCTGGACATCTCTCTAAAGGCATTTTGCCTGCTCAACCACTGGCTCACAATCATCCTGATCTCCTGAGTATGTAAACAATAGAATAAGGGGTTTATCAGTGGTTGAACGAGGCTGTAAAGCAATATGAGAAGTATCCTGAAATCTCTGCTGATTTGGATTTGCAGGAAATTGGCTATATACACGGCGCAGCGAGGCACGTAAAACAGAACGATGATGCACAGCTGCGTGCTGCAGGTGGCAAAACTTTTCCAGCGACTCGACAGCTCGACAGCCTCATCACAGACGCTATGATGTGACAGTAAGAGTAAATGAGGAAGGCCAGAGGGAGAAGGAGCACAAGCAGGGCCACGCACAAGACCACCAACATCTGCTTGCTGTTTTCAGCACAGGCCAGGTTGGTAATAGAGATGTGGTCGCAGTAGTATTGAATAATCAGTTTAGGGCCACAGTAAGGATATTTATTTTAAATTGGCTAGTTTGTGCAAGTAAATTGATTTAAACTTGTTGTTAAAAGTTCAAATGGATTGTGTGATGTTCTGTAATTGCTGTTAATAAATCTGTCAGAAAAAAATATGCTAAAGTTGAACCTTTAGAGGTACAACAGCCTGGTAGCCTTTTACAAAAATTAACCATGGTTTTATTACAGTAACCACAGTTTACCACAGTATTTGTTGTAAAACTGCAGTTACCACAAATTTGCCATGGTAATAATATTAAAACATTTGAGTACTTATGTAACACCATGTTTATTTTTCATGAGGTACCCTCAAAGGTGCACTTTTGTAACTTATCTACCCTTAAAGCATGCACACTTGTATGGTACTAATATGCTCCCTTTTAGGGGTATAGTTGCACATTAGAGGTTACTGCCCCAGTAAAGGGCTAAAATACAATTATTGTATTTTTTATTTCTGACAGTGTAAACAAAAGAAGTTCTATGGAATGTTAAAAAACATGGATTTAAAATCTAATATTAAGTGAGTATTATTACTGATTATATTCTTTTAATAATTTAAAAGATCAGTTTATTTTATAGGTATTGGTATCAATATCGATATAGACGATATTGGGCTTGAAAATATCGGTATCGGATCGAAAATAAAATCAGAGGTATCACCCATCCCTACTTCCTAGTCTCTCCGAAGTGATAAACAGGACCAGGAAAACAGTGTTACTGGCCACTGCGGTCGTGTAGACCAGTGTTTCCCAACCTTTTTTTAGTCGCGGCACCCTTTGGAAATTTTAACAAACTTTTGGCATCCTACAAAATTAATTTTGTCACAATATTTGAATTTCTAACTTCGATATGATCATTTGAAAAGTACAGATATTCGGTACAACAGGGAAGAACTGCAGAATATAATGTCATACAGATATTTTTTATATTATTAAAAATGGTGGCAATCAGTAGGCTAATTTCTAATGAAGAGATCAATTTATATGACAGATTTTAATGTAGGCTTTTATACATATGTAAACATTATTTAATTGCCATTATAACTAGCTATCTCAAGGGGGAAGTCGTGGCCTAATGGTTAGAGAGTCGGACTCATAGCGCTCTCTCCCACCTTCAATACCACGACTGAGGTGCCCTTGAGCAAGGCACTGAACCCCCAACTGCTCCCCGGGCGTCTCAGCATAAATGGCTGCCCACTGCTCCGGGTGTGTGTTCACTGCTGTGTGTGTGCACTTAGGATGGGTAAATGCAGAGCACTAATTCCGAGTATGGGTCACCATACTTGGCCACATGTCACATCACTCACTCACTCACAAATTTTTGCTCACTCAGTGTTTTTTAAATTTTACAGTGGAGTAATTTTGGTGCAGTAGCACGAGATAGCTTGATTTCAAACTTTGAATTGAATAAAAAATGACAAGTAAGCAGTCAGTAATAAAATAAGAATAAATAAAGAAATTAATAATGATAGCACAAATAAAAAATAACGACAGGCCTACGAATTAAATCAATTGCTTTTTAGTTTTTCAGGTAGGTCTTACAGTAGGGTTAAGATATTTCACTTATTTATTTTTATTTTTTTACCAATTATCCAAATAATGTTTAGTCCTAGAAAGCTATTATTATCAGAACACGTGAGCATAACATAGCTGTTAACAGATCAATGATTGAGAGGGCAGCGTTACCAGAGTTGCCCATATACCACACCATGTTACAACACAGTACGGCTATTGCAGACAGAAACAATACTGTACTACATCGATGTTTCCTGTCGGCTCAATTTTTGAGTGGACTTTGCTGTTCCGATTTGCATGAACGGTATACGAGTGGAGCGACTGAGCGGAGCGCACACACGCATAGAGCGGGATACGCAGAGCGTCACACCACGTGAAAGTGAAACCTGAGCGGTGAACTAATTTTCGGCAGCCGAAATTTCGGTGCATCTCTAATTATTGGCGACATCAGAAATGGATATTATATAATAGAT